TTTACGGGCATGCCCTGACCAATTACGGTCGTAATTTGGCAGGGGCTGCCCGTAATTTGTCCTGTGAATCACCATCTGACCTCCAAATGACCCGAAACTTGCGCCTATGCACCTCTTTACTTGCTAGGACCTGAAATACGACAAAACAACACAACCTAGCGTAAAATAGGCCAAGGAACAATCAATTCAAGCTAAAATGGACAGGAAACCAGACAGAAAACCTTCATGCGGATGCCCTCTCCAAACTTGCAACTGCGCGGGATTTTTTGGACGAGAGACATGTTATTGTTGAACGACGACCCACCTTGCTATGCTCTCAAACAACCACTTTGCCACTCCCCCAAGACTGGCGCACGCCAATGATTGAATACCTCCAACATGGCATCCTTCCGGCCGACCATAAAGAAGCAGTTCGGCTGAAGCGTCGGGCGCCTTTATACATTATGACCGACAACGCTCTGTATCAGAAGAGTTTCGCAGGCCCGTATCTCCGGTGACTTAGTGCGCGCGAAGCCCACTTTGCTCTCCGGGAAGTTCACCAGGGGACATGCGCCACACATGCAGGCCCGCGTAGTCTAGAAAAGACTCTCCTCCGTCAAGGATATTACTGGCCAACAATTCGACGGGATGCCGAGAGTATGTTAAGGTATGCTCCAAGTGCCAAATAGCCGCCAGAGTACCCCGTGCGCCCACTGCACCAATGCAAGGGAACCTTTCGCTCAGTGGGAAATGGATTTCCTCGGTCCTTTTCCCGAGGCACCCGGGAGGAAAAAGTATTTGATAGTCGCTATCGACTATTTCACCATATGGATAGAGTCCTATGCTCTAACTGGCATGACCACCCAACAGGTTATGAAGTTCCTATGGACCCACATCATTTGTCGGTCCAGCCTCCCTCACACCATTGTGCTGGATCAAGGAACACAATTCAAGAGTCAGGACCTCCAGACGTACTGTGCCCAGTATGGCATTCTCCTTCGATATGCATCTGTCTCCTACCCTCAGGCTAACGGTCAGGCGGAGTCCGCCAACAAAAATATCTTGTGGGGACTAAAAACGCGTCTAGATGACGCCAAAGGGAAATGGGTGGAAGAACTTCATCATGTCATGTGGCCTCACCGAACCACCTACAAGACTTCTACATGAGATACACCGTACGCACTCACTTATGGAACCGACGCGGTGTTGCCCATCGAAATGGAATTGTCGTCATATCGGGTTAAAGTCTTCCGCCCGGAAGCCAACAATGAGGAGCTCACCCACAACCTCGACCTTGTTGAAGAACGTCGAGAAGATGCTCGGCTACGCCTGGTTGCCAGCCAAGAAAGGGTTGCTCGATACTACAACTCTAAGGTTAGAGAGCATCCTCTCCAGGTTGGGGATTGGGTGCTTCGACGAAATTTCCGCCCCGAAAAAGTTCTGGGAAAGTTCACACACAAGTGGGAAGGCCCATATAGGGCAAGAGAAGTTGTCGGTCCCAACACGGTGAAGCTAGAAGATGCCGATGGTGAAGATATGTCTAAAACCTGGAATGCCATGCACCTACGTAGGTATTTCACACCCATGTAATAAAAGCGCTCGCGCTTAGCAATATTTATAATAATAAAAGTGCATGGTTCGTGGATTACATCGAAAATTCCAAATTGATACGAAAAGCAACAAAGTACGCATGAAACAACAACTAAGGCAAACAAAGGAAGCCGACTACCACGACTCAAGCACCCGTCGGAGGGTCGGGGCCCAAGGCGGAGCTCGGACTGGCTGCGTGACTAAAACCAGGTGGTGTTCCCGAGTAAAGTGGGATCTCGGACATATGGAGGTCGGACATATAGTTCCCAATGAAATTCTCCAATTCGTCAACCGCAACATCATCCATTATGCCAAAGGAAATTTGGGAGTCTTCAGTATGGTCGTCCTCCCTTCCAACATACTCGGGGGCATCAACAACATATCCAGCCTCTCTCTCCGCTTCCGCCTTTGCGGCCACTCGCTCAACCATTCTCCTTTTGAAATCTGCCTCGCTAAGAGGGGCCCCGGGATGCATCTCATTGACTATGTCCCGGGAGAAGCAGTACAGTCGGGAAAACGCCTTCATCATAGTTCTCCAAGTCTTATCTCTCTTTATCCTAAGCCTCTGGGAAATCCCACGCTCCCTCCGAAGTGCCTCTCTCGCCTGGGCCAGAGTTGCCTTCTCCTCTCTCGCCCGTTTCTTCTCCAGCTCCGCCCTTTTGAATTCGCGCTCTGCACGGGCACTCTCCTGCTCCGCCCGCTGGGACTCTCGCTCTGCCCTCGCCCTCTCCATAATCAGCTCCTCTTGGGTACGACTCTCAGCAGCTCGGGCCTCCTCCAACTTCTCCATCGCCCTTCTGAAGTCCCCTCTCTAGTTGACGGATTCGTGCCGCCCGACTTTCACACCGCTCTCGCTCCTCGGCCAATCGCTTCTCTGCTGCAGCTACTGCACGAGAGGCCTCGCCGGTTTTCTTTGCCGTCGATCTCATCCGAACATGGGAAGACACCGACTCCTTCACCACCTACAAATAAACGAAGATTTAGTACCGTCCACCTAGTACGATTTAAAGGTTACTTAAGAATTTTTTACCTGATTTAAAGGTCATCTCCTGAGTGTCGTTATGATCAATGTCGAGGGCGTCCAAAAGGCGTTGTGCTCTAGAACCCCCGATGGGAGCCGACATTGCCGACACCGAGCTAGAGGCTCTCGCTTTACCCGAAGTCGGGTTGTTGGGGGTCGTGCTCACAGGAGTTGGAGATGCCCACCCGGTCGGACCTGAAGCAGCTCTCCAAGATCCACCACTTGCTTGGGAGCCCGAGCTCCCGGATAAGCTCTGAGTGACACTCACCCCGGCGCAACCTCCAGAGCCCGCGGAGAATCGAGAAGGACTTGATGAGTCAATAATGATCCTCCTCCTGTGGACCCTCGACCTTGATAGATATCCAATCCTTCGGAATCCTGAGATGTGAGCTCGCGAATCTCCACTCCTCGTGATCGAGATGCGTGTTGACCTATCCCTGGAGGTGCATCATCTTGAACGGATTCCATGCCGCGAAGCAACCACTCAACATCCATGGTACCTGAAAAGAAAATAGCTTAGTCCGGAAGGCGAGCAAGAATTCTAGAATGGCAAAACCTATTATGCAAGAAGTACTACAACCCTCCTACCCTCTGAATAAGCTTGGATTATCAGCAACCTAATTTGTTCCTTGGTACGCAGTTCGGTCGGAGGCCCACTTAAAAATCGACTGAAATCCATAGGAACGTTGGGTGCCTTAAGAAGCTTACTCGGATGCTCAAGCCCACTTTCATCCGGAAGAGGATCTCCACCTACCATGAGTCCCCCTGGCAGGGGGGAGAAGAAGAAAAACTTATCATACCAGCCTTTTTGTTTTATCTTCATCACAGACCCAAAAGGGAAACGCCGATCGGATTTGGGCCCATAGAAGCGACGCTCCAATCCCCAAGAGGTACTACCCAAGGAAACATGACGAATTGTGAAACACGCATTGAATAGATCTTCGGTAGGGTTTATACCCTTCCCCTTGCAGCGAGAAATAAACGCTGCCACGAACGCCCAGAATGTGGGTGCCACCGAACTAGTGGCCAGGCCAGAATCTATCATCACCTTGCCTAGCAACTTGGGCAAGGGGGCATGAAACCCGTAGGGGAGGGACTCATAGAAAATGCAATGCCACTCGGACCCACAAGAGTTAATGCTGGCATCATTGTCGGGGAGAGCATACTCCCACTGATCTGGCATACCATACAAGGCCAGAATATCCTGCAGCTCCACCATCCTCTTTGTTAAGTTCTCAGTCTGCCCAGCCTCCCGATACAAGTCTCCCGACACGTCATCCTCCGAGAAAGTCTCGAACAAGGAGCGCACACGGTATCTCGCCCTAGCTCCCGTTCTGACAGGCTCGGTCGACCAAGGTATCCATCCATCACCCTGGTTCGTAAACGGTGCAGAAGCAAACCACCCTCCTTCAAACACAGGGACGACTTGTATCGGGATCGCCATCTCCCCACTCGAAGTAACCTAATCCTCCTCCGACGGGACAACTCCTCCTCTTGAGGAATCCCGACTCAACATCACCCGCCGATATGCCATAACTGAGACGGAGAAGAAACAAAAAGAAGCAGAAAAAAACTAAGTACTCCTACCCCCCACATGCAAGCATACAACATAGCACTGAGGAGAGGGAGAAAGATGTCATACCTGACGCGATCAAGTCTCCAACAGCTTCTGAGCTAACCCTCACCTTGCCACCGTCCGCTAACTAACAAGTTCTCTCTCAATGAAAGGGAGCACTTGGGAGAAGAATGAAGTGAATAATAAAGAAGAAAGGAAGATGCTATTTATAAGAGGATATAGAGGAGGAGAGTATGGAAGAGAATACTTTCTCTTCTAAAAAGTCCAAGGTTTGTGCATTTTCCAAACCGTCTTTGACCAAAGTTCAAGAAAAATGCACAGTCTTCTATTCTGCTCATGGGAATCAAGAATAATGAAGGCCAAAGTTATAAGGAGGGAAAATTCTCTCCCCAAATTCAAGACTTGTGCACTTCCCAAACAATCTAAATCAACATTCAACAAATAAAAAATATATAAAAGATATATAGTATTCTAATAAACTCCCAAGATTAAATTTGGGAATTAATCACGGGGCAGACCATGCTTGCCCCCGAGAATCTTGAGATTCTCGCCGACAAGGGGGGCAATTGATATACCCAATGTAAAAATATTTTAACAGAACCAGCTCACCATCTGCTCAAATAGTGCATTATTGCACCTAGTTCGACAATCGTGCTCAGCCCACGACTATCTCCGGTGAAGTATTGAGCCAGGCCCGTACAGCTCCCATTAGTACACAATTGTGCCATGACCCGCCAACAGTAAATCATACAGTGCCTCACGATTGCCCCAAGTTAAGGGTTCCTCCCTCCGAGCCCGGCTCCCGGCATCCGCCCTCCTCCTGGCACCCGGGCCTACCATTGACATGGCTCCCGGCGGCGGGCCTTCACCTCTCATCCGGTTCCCGGCGCCCGAGCCCGTTATCGTTCCTGGACCCCGGCTCTCGGCACCCGAGCCAACCATTGCCCTGGTTCCAGGCGGCGGGCCTTCACCTCTCGTCCGGTTCCCGGCGCCCGGGCCCGTTATCGTTCTCGGACCCCGGCTCTTGGCACCCGGGCCCACCATTGCCCCGGCTCCCGGCGGCGGGCCTTCACCTCTCCTCCGGTTCCCGGCGCCCGGGCCCGTTATCGTTCCCGGACCCCGGCTCCCGGCACCCGGGGCCAACCAATGCCCCGGCTCCTGGCGGCGGGCCTTCACCTCTCGTCCGGTTCTTGGGGCCCGGGCCCGTCATCGTACCCGGACCCCGGGCCCACCACTGCCTCTGCTCCCGGAGGCGAGCCTTCACCTCTCGTCCGGTTCCCGGCGCTCGGGCCTGTTATCGTTCCCGGACCCCGGCTTCCGGCACCCAGGCCCACCATTGCCCCGGATCCCGGCGGCGGGCCTTCACCTCTCGTCCGGTTCCTGGCGCCAAGGGCCCGTCATCGTACCCGGACCACTGCTCCCCGAACCCGGGCCCACCATTGCCCCGGCTCCCGGTGGCGGGCCTTCACCTCTCATCCGGTTCCCAGCGCCTGGGCCCGTTATGGTTCCTGGACCTCGGCTCCCGGCATCCTGGCCCACCATTCCTCCGGCTCCCGGCGGCGGGCCTTCACTTGTCATCCGGTTCCCGACGCTCGGGCCCGTTATCGTTCCCGGACCCCGGCTCCCGGCACCTGGGCCTGTTATCGTTCCCGGACCCCGGCTCCCGGCACCCAGGTCCCACCATTGCCCCGGCTCCTGGCGGCGGGCCTTCACCTCTCGTCCAGTTGCCGGCGCTCGGGCTTGTTATCGTTCCCAGACCCCTTCTTCAGGCACCCGGGCCCACCATTGCCCCGGATCCCGGCGGCGGGCCTTCACCTCTCGTCCGGTTCCCGGCTCCCGGGCCCCTCATCGTACCCGGACCCCTGCTCCCGGAACCCTGGCACCCCCGGCTCCCAGCGGCGGGCCTTCACCTCTCCTCCGGTTCCCGGCGCCCGGGCCCGTTATCGTTCCCGGACCACGACTCCCGGCACTCGGGCCCACCATTGCCCTGGCTCCCGGAGGCGGATTTTCACCTCTCGTCCGGTTCCCGGCGCGCGGGCCCGTTATCGTTCCCGGCTCCCGGCACCCGGCCCCACCATTGCCCCGGCTCCCGGCGGCGGGCCTTCACCTGTCATCCGGTTCCCGGCGCCCGGGCCCGTTATCGTTCCCGGACCTCGGCTCCCAGCACCCGGGGCGCACCAATGCCACGGCTCCTGGCGCCGGGCCTTCACCTCTCGTCCGGTTCCCGGCGACCGGGCCCGTCATCGTACCCGGACCCCTGCTCCCGGAACCCGGGCCCACCACTGCCTCTCCTCCCGGAGGCGGGCCTTCACCTCTGGTCCTGTTCCCGGCGCTCGGGCCCGTTATCGTTCCCGGCTCCCGGCACCCGGGCCTGTTATCCTTCCCGGACCCCGGCTCCCGGCACCCGGGTCCCACCATTGCCCCGGCTCCCGGCACCCGGGTCCCACCATTGCCCCGGCTCCTGGCGGCGGGCCTTCACCTCTTGTCCGGTTGCTGGCGCTCGGGCCTGTTATCGTTCCCGGACCCCTTCTTCCGGCACACGGGCCCACCATTGCCCCGGATACCGGCGGCGGGCCTTCACCTCTCGTCCAGTTCCCGGCTCCCGGGGCTGTCATCGTACCCGGACTCCTACTGCCGGAATCCGGGCCCACCACTGCCCCTACTCCTGGCGGCGGACCTTCACCTCTCGTCCGGTTCCCGGCGCCCGGGCGCGCTATCGTTCCCGGACCCTGGCTCCCGGCACCCGGGCCTACCGTTGCCCCGGCTTCCGGCGCCAGGCCTACGCCTCTCGTCCGGTGCTCGGCGCCCGCGTTGATACTGATTCCGAGATCCTCCCGCCTCCTGGCGCCCGGGCCCGCTTTCACCCCCTCTCCCGGCGCCCGGGCTCGCTGTCGCCCCCTGCTCCCAGTACCCGGATCCGCATCTATTCTCCCCACCTGTATCCATTGCATGTGTATTACCTGCACATATGTCATGCCCTCTACTCAATTAGTTTGCATGTGGCATAAGTGTTCCCCTTAGGCAGAAACATGGTTGACATGTGTACAACCACATGGCGGGAGCAGATGGGCCTAGACGACACATGTCCAGTGACGTGTCTTTCCGGCGCCGACACTTGTCCTTCCGTTGCCCCCCTGGTAGTTATTATATAGCTAGCCCACTCTCTCCAGTAAAAGGTAAGGCAGGAGACCGGGGGAAGTAACTGGAGAGCGCCCACTGCAATCCGTGACTCTCACCCCCCGAGCTCACCTCCTACAAACACTTTGTAAACTACTCAATCCCCCACACTAGGGACTAACTTGAGCGTCGGAGGGTGCACCCGCCGAGATCGACCGGCGGGCCCTTCTTGCAGGAAGCGATCGGAGGCAACGTCACGAAAAAGGTTACCGTAAAGGGGCACTTCAAATCGCTTCGGGGCCCAAGATCGAGGAAGTCGACATCGGTTACAAACTCGGCATCAACAATTGGCGCCCACTGTAGGACGGACCGAAGTAAAAATATTAAAGAATACCCGATATCAACTTTCCGTTCGTGATGGAGTCCGAAAGCTCCCGCCCAGCGGGGGGAAGTGGAGACAAAAAAAAGTATGTCCAACCTACTGTTGAGGAACTCCAAACTCAAATCGAGCAACTCAAAGCACAAATTAAGACGCTGACCTTGACTCCTCCTCCCAATGGCGTGCATGGTAGTTCAAGTCAACAACAAGAAATCCCTGGTGGATCCGTCCAGCCAAACGGGACGTCGGCACCTCCCCCTCCCTCCCAGCCAGACCTCTCCTATTTGGAGGCTCATCTCACACCAGGCTTCCTCGGTGATCCCGATCACGGAAGGCCCCTCGCCCAGACTATTCTTGAGCAGCCTAATCCTCCCAATTTTCAAATGCCGCACCACCTGCCAGAATATTACGGGACTTCCGACCCGGAGGATAACCTCAGTGCATTTCAGATACTGATGCCCTTCGTGGGGGCATCTGACGCTACTATGTGCAAGCTCTTTCTTGCCACCTTACGGGGGGTAGCATTTCAATGGTACACACAACTTTGCAATGGGTTAATCCACATGATAACAGGTACTTGATTTTGGTTCATATGGCCGATTTTTTATTTGTTACATCATTAATGTCTCTTTCCTGCTAAAATTCACTATTTTTATTACGTGTTTCCCAAAAGAACTATACAACAATAAGCTAAACACCCTATTACATTATCAAATTTCATACCTCACCTTCCTCCGGCCAGCTGGCCGGGCCACGGTAGTAAATATTATAATAGTCCTATGATTGCAAATTGCATGATTCAATATCGTTGTTAAGATTCCTAAGTTTGTGGTTCTTGCTAACATCACCAATTCAATGAAAGCCATCCAAAGATACATCAGAACCCCATTATTATAAAGTAAAAACCTATGGATTCTTAACAAGAGTTGGTTAGGACATATATGAGTCCTGTTTTCACATGCAATTGGCAATGGTTATAGTAAATAGGCTAATGCATAGACAAAGGATGTTGTTAACTATATATATATATTTTCAACCCAACCCGCTAGGTATCCACGGGTTCATGGATACCCATGGGTTTTTGTCGTAAAAATTTACAATAACAAGTTCATATCAAAATAAAAGTCAAATATCAATCTCTCAATACAAATTATCCATATATAAAACATCATTCTAGAAAATTTAAGCAAATCACAAATTAACCATACAAATTGTTCAACACCAATCTAGAAAACTCAGGAAAATTGAAGCAAATCATAAATTATCCATAAACCACATGATTAATTGAAAGCTTCTTCCTCCTTGTCAATTTAAGTTCCACACTCTCCACTCAATAATATCAACTTCATTTTAGACAATTAGATATGTCTCCACAAACATAAATAATATTAGTTGGTTAAAATACAAAATATATTGGGGAAAATTAATAATATGGGTGTGGATGGGTATCCATGTCGGGTATACCTAAACCCAAATCCAACCCAACCCAATGAATAGTGAATAGATGATTCAGGCCCAAATGTACACATTTTATCCCTCATTTCTTATTCGTTTAGCTTAGTATTTCATCGTTCCTTGACATATTTCACGGTAGGTTGTGCTTATTTTGATACATTTGAGGTTCTAACACGTGTGGAAGGGTCAAGGATGAGTTTTGGGGAAAATGGAGGTCGAAAAGCGCAAAAACCGAAGTAAAGTCTGAAGCAGTGAAGTGAAGGCGTCTAGGAAACAGCTACAATTCACGGTCGGACAAGGCAGTTCACGGTCAGACCATGAAGAGGGGGCATGGGCCGTGAGTATCAAGGCGTCCAAGGCACTTACCAAAGTTACTGACGCCCGGCGAGTTCACGGTCTCTAAGACCGTGAACAGGGGCCATTGACCGTAAAACCAGGAGAGTGAATCGGTGCGTTTTTGACGACACTGAGTTCATGGACGCGTTTAGGTGTTCACGGCCGTGAACTGGCCAACGCGTCCTTGAACTGGTCACTTTCGGGCAAATATAAAGACAACAATGGGGAGAGAGAAGGGCGAGTTGGTTTTTGGAGAGAAATTCAATTCCCTCTCTAGGTTTGCCCAAAAACACCAAAGGGGAGTTCTAGTGTGTGTGTGTGTGAGAGAGAGAGAGAGAGAGAGAGAGAGAGAGAGTGCTAGAGTGATCTTGGAGCATCTTTGGAGGCTTGGGTGGATCTTGAAGACAAGGATTCAAGCCTAGAAGAAGAAGATATTGAGCTCAAATTTATAATCCCTCTCTTCTCTCTCTAGAAACTCACTCTTTTCTCTTGGGTGTTGTAGATCCCTAACTAATACTTTGTAATTACTTGTTTGGATTGAATGATTTTGTGTGGGTGTGCATCAATTTGAGTATTAGAGGTGTCTTCATGGTGATTGTGCTTAGTTGTGCTTTCCAAATCTTGTGTGCTTGCCTAACCTAGAGTAGAGGAAAACCACACCTTTTTAGGTAGGCTTGACATGTTTGGTTTTCCTGGGCACTTTGTGCCTACTATATAGGTTAGAGATGAGCATCCCCCTTGACTCAAGTTTGAATCTAGGTTGGTTGTGATTAAGCCGCTCAAACTCCGGCTTGAGGGAGTGAGCTAGGCAACCCCTAGAGACTGAGTGAGAGGATCGATTCCATGACAAATCGATCTCTAGTGAATCCATTCTTGACCTCCCCCATTGCCACTTGAGGCATTATTTTTATTATAAGACCAAGAAAACAAACAATATTATGATAAATGTAGTCAAATTATGAGAGAAATTGAAGTTTTCACTAATTTATAACTTTATTATAGCTAAATTATGATGTAATAAAAGAAAATTTCTAAACAGTCCAAACAGGTCGGGTAAAACAGGTCAGGTCAAAATTGCCATCCCTACCCAAGAGCTTCATGGAGTGAACAAGAAGGGGGAAGCCAAGGATCCAGGTTATATTACCAACCACCCTTCAAAGATGAACAACCATATCAGTAAGATTTCCCATATCAATACCATGTGCCATGGAAGCCTCCACATATCAGGTCAAAATCTTCCCCATATCAAGAAGATTTCCCTCCACAACTCGAGGAAAAATCCAAGTTGGAGTTGGGCATGGAAGCCTTCATGGGAAAATCATCAATACCATGTGCCACTCCACAACAGGAGTCAAAGAGAAACTGGGAGCTCATGGTGGAACAATTTTCCTGGGGTACCGACGAAGGATGCTCCGATTCGGATCTTCCAATCGCCGACCCTATCGAATCACCCCTCCCTCCTCCCGATTTGACACTTGAAGAGAAAGTGGCACGAGCTTGTAAAAGCTATCGCCTCTCATTATTGGAGGAGAAAGAGGAGGTTGAAGGGATGCTCAATGACAACCATGTGGAGCTAGAGGAACTCACCCCGGAGAGCTCCCATGGTGAGGATGAACAAGAAGGTTGCATTGATGACTCTCATCACTTTCCCCTTCCCGGGAACAACTTTCAAGACCGAGTCAGGAGTGTGGATGAGCAAGAGAATCCTTTCTATGATCTTGCATGGCATCTTGCCCTCCAAACCGTTCTCAAAGACATGAAGGGGAAGGAGAAAGAAGAGGTTTAAGAGGAGGAAGAAAGCATTAAAGAGGGGAAAGATCTCGAGTGTTCCCAAGGGGAGGAAATTGAAGAAGAAGGAAGGGAGGTTGAAGATGAAGTAGAAGGCGCAAGTGGTGTCCAAGATGAGGACGAGAACGATGTGGATGAAGCATCCACAAGTTACGAGGGTATGAAAGCTTTCCACCTGACCTCGATGCACTTTTGGAGAAGGGCCCATTTGCAGCTCTTTGCCAAGCCAAGTCCAAACCATCGCCGATCCCTCTTGGTGGATGCGATGGAAACCAATCGAGTTTTCACTACATGGTATAGGGCAAAGAGAAGAAGAGGTCTCTTGGGTCGAGCCTCAAAGCCATTCAAGTTCACGAGCCCTCAATCATTAACTCGTACAATGCTCGTGACTTGAGACATCACTTCACTATCGAGAACCTCAACTTCAAGGAGGTTCACGGGTGGACTGAAACTTGAAGAGCAACCGTCTGGCTCACGACGTTAAAAAAACGCCTGGTGGGAGGCAACCCAACCATCAACGGTTTGCATCTCTTTTCCTTTCAATAAGACGACCAATGGAGAGATTTTGTTGGTGTTTTTCCATCTCCTTACTCTTCCGGATCTCACCCGCCCTCCGCTCTCGGAAACCAACATTCACCACTATCTGGTAACATCCTTCTACTTTCCTATTTTACGCCATTGAGGGCAATGTCGAGCTTAAGTGTGGTGGGGGAGGGGTAGTCCATTATGCATGTGAGTGTGAATGTTTGATGTGATTTTGAATGCTTGGAGCCTTGATGTATGCCCAAATTTGAAAAAATTTGATGGCTCCAAGCAATGCTTGTTCAAAATGGCCGGTTGGATGATGAATCTCTTGCTTATTTGGCATCGTTCTTGAATTGTTGCATATAGTCGAGTGCATCCTATTAAGATGACTGAGAGTGCATTATGATTGTGCAAAGGCTTAGTTCCCATGTGTGCTTTAATGAATGGGATGTATTGACTTGGTTACTCTTCGATTACAATCGCCATGCATCGAGTTTGTTAATGTGGAATAGAAGATTGGGCGGCTAGGTGGCCTGTGAGTTTTGAGCCGATCATTTTCTTCTGGTGTGATAGTTCCCTCTCACCATGGTGTCTAGCATCACAGTTTTCATTAGCGAGTAGGATGGAGGCATAGGATTAGTCCACGCCCAAATGTTGATTGTCCCGAAATGTGTTGCCCCTTAGTCGACCCCTTTGAGCCTTGTGACTTCGAGGGTCGTTCTTATGTTAGGAGCTTCTTGTTTGTGAGCTTAATGGTGTTGGTAGAATGACCCCAATCCTTTCTTCGTGTCTATGCATGTGTCGTCCTTGTATCCTGGAGCTCTCGCTGTTGAGTTCCATTGAGGTTCTACATAGGAGGATTGTGTGCGGTTCTTGCTAGGAATGCAAAATGAAGTGTAGTGTTGGAGTGAGTTCTTCAATAAGAGAGCATAGGTCGTTAAATGTATAGGTGGCAAGTGTTTTAATCTCTAGTATCCCTCTCAAATAGAAAAAGAAAAAAAAAGAATCGAAAATGAGGTAATAAAATGGGGTAAATAAAGTAGAAGGTGCCACGAAAATCAAAGTGTATGCTCTAGGAGGTGTTTCTTGGCACTCAACCCATTGAGACCCCCACATTGTTTTAGAACTCCTTCACTACCAAATGGAAAGGTGATAGCAAGAGAAGACCGAAAAAGAGCGCTTAAATGTAGTTCATGACGGGTGATAGTTTGGAAGGGAGAAGTAAGGCTTTTGGCCGATGCTAGTGGCCTTTGTTTGTAGAGAAGGTTCTTAGTCAAAACCAGTCGGGTTTAGGTTGAAGATGTAGAACCTCATGTTGTGTTTTCCACAACCAAAAAGTCCTTTTCCCCATGCCCAAGACAATTGACAGTCGTCTAAATCCGTGTCTAAGACCTCCGGACGAGCTAGTGACGACAACTATCCCGTGAACTCTAGCGTTTAAAGGTTGCAGCCATGGTGGTGAGATGGTAGGGATGAG